TTCTTCTATACTGATATATCTGTAGGACTCCAAGTTTCTTAAAAATATATCCACTTCTCCATCGATCATAGCCAACTTTCCTTCAATAAGGAACTTCAATTTTTTATGCATGGTTGACGTAACAGCCTGTGCTGCATGAGTCTTAGGTCGCCCGAGAAGGCATGTATATGCTGGTTCTATATTTATCACTTGAAAGGTAATGTAGAACATTTTTGGGCCGATCTTATCAAGAAGATCCACTTCTCCAAACATTGTGCTTTCAAAACCATCGAAAGCTTTAACCACCATAGAACTTGGCCTTATGACAATGTCGTCCATTGTTAGCTTCATCTAACTAGATTTTGGTAGTACATTGAGGGCGGAGCCACTATTAGTGAGCACCCTATATAGGTTAGTTTTCCCTATTTGGATGGAAATATGCAACACCTTGCTGTGAGCTCTACCTTATGGAGGCAACTCACTGTCATTGAAGCCTAAGCGTGATCCTGATGTTAGATTAGCTACTAATCCATCAAATTGATTTACTGTATTCTCCTAATTAACATGAGCAGAACTCAGAATTTTCATTAGAGAGTCTCGACGCGCTTCTGAATTGATGAGTAACTAGAGTATTTAAATCTTGGTCGGGGTTTGGTGTAGTTGATCCACCATCCTATAGTCACTTTTCTTGATTATTTTCTAGAATTCTTCAGCCTCTTGATCGGTAAAATTATTACTCGGAGGTTCTTTCTCTTGGCTTATTTCCACCACAGCTTTTCCTTTATCCTTAACCATAGTATTATCATTTTTTTTGTTGCTCAGGACCATATGTCCGACCGCTGCGGGTCATGCCCCATGTTCCTGCTATATTTGTAATTGTAGGTCCTTGGTTCGATGATTGTTCACATTCCTGTTTTAAACCATTGACATAGACGGTAGTATCGTAGTTCCATGGTACAACTTTGTCACTTTCATAAGGAGTGGGGGATGGTCCCCGAATCACCATCGTAGTCTTTAGAAGTACCGGTATCCTTAGAGTTTGACCTCGGCGTGGTAGTTTACTGGTACTTTTGTCGTGCTTGGTTCTCCACAAGGAATTACGAGAGTTTTCTTGATAAAACTCGGCCCTCGGCAACGAATCACACATGGCGTCCTTGTATTCTCAGCCAATGTAGGAACGCCGTTGGTAACCACTTCTAGGGTTTCATGGAAGCCAAACGAGGATTGCATCTGTTTTTTCCATCGGATCCAATTTTTACCGTCAAGCATTGGAAGAGAATTCAGAATGCCCTTATCACTAGCCATCTTCGCAGCGGTTGATTCACTTGCCCTAGAAACACGATCTCAGACGTTAAATTCTTGAAAACTTGATCAAAAACAATAACTGGAAGCTCTGGATACCAATTTGTTAGTGCGTGAGGCACTTTTAGTGGGGAGAGAAAGAAAGAATAATAAAGGAAATATGGATTTGTATTATTGAATTGTAAAAATAATGACACACACTATGACTATTTATATAGAACCCTAATTGGGTTTGGGCTAACACAACTTAGATTATATTTAAATATTAAACCTAATAAAATCTAATTTAATCTAATATTTTAACAAATCTAATTTAATATTTCAACAGAACTCAGGTAATATGTCATAAATAAAAAATAAAATAAAATAGACTAAAATGCAGTTGTTTGATTTCGAAAGGAAGTTAATCAATACTTTTTTCATCGGTTGCCAGCTCAATTGAGACGATAGATCATAACAAAAAAAAGTGCTAAAATGTAATTGCTGATATTCAAAGGCATGTCTTTTGAATATTTTTTCCTCGATAACCATCTCTACCTGGATAATATATCATAAACCAAAATAAATAAAATATATTAAAATATAGTTGTTGGAACTCGAATGCGTATTCTCTAAATATGTTTCTTCTCTATTGACAACTTAATCATGGTAATATGTTATAAAAAAAATAAGAAATTATTAAAATATAGTTGTTAGAATTGAAAAGCTTGTCTCCTAAATACTATCATTGCTTGTTAGCTCAACAGAAAAATATATGGTATTTTAATTTTTTTATAAATATAACATTTCTAAGTTATAATATATATACTACAAAAAAAACTCTCATTTGCGACGTAAAATTCACATCACAGCGTAAAAAATCATGTCACAATAATTAATTTGCGACGTGAATAATCACGTGGCTGGGGAACGAGTGGAAAACTAATTACGACCTGATTTTCATGTCACAAAGTTGTGACGTGAAAATCACGTCGCAACTTGCTTGCACAAAAATCCTGGAATTACAGTGGAAGCAGGTGTATCAGGCGTTAAAGTTAGAGCAGCACTTTATTTGTCATGTGATTTTCACGTCACAAATGAGTTACGTGAAAATCACGCCACTAATTAATTACATTTAATACTCAATATTCTATTTAGCTTTTATTTTTTATAAAAAAAAGTTAAGTTGCGACGTGATTTTCACGTCACTAATTTATGACGTGAAAATCACGTCACTAGTTAATTACAATTACCACTGCAACGTTCCATTAAGGTTTTGTTTCCTTATTAAAAAATGAAGTTGCGACGTGATTTACATGTCACAACTTTGTGACATGGAAATCACGTCACTTATGTTTTTTTTTTAAAATTTTAATTATTGAAATTTGTTTTTCTTTTATAATTAATTAAATTAATAAAATTAATTAATAAATTAATTAGTAAATTAAATATATAATAAACTAAATTAATAAATTCAATATATAATAAATTTAATATATTAAATTTAATATACTAAAATTAATAAACTAAAATTATAAATTTAAGATTCCTTAATTTAATATACTAAATAGGTTTAATTAATTAGTATGTTACACAAATTCAAATTTGAAAGCAAAATAAAAAAGATTAGTTCTACGGGTCATCTTAGTTGGTATAGTTGTCAATATAAAAATTATCTTCGTTTCCGTCATCATCCGACTCTTGACCATGAACGTTTTGATTTCTACCAAACCTTTGCATAAATTGTCTCATTTGTTGCTCCATATCAGCCTTCATGTTCGCCATGACCTCCATTTGTCGTTGTTTCTCTTGCCTCATTGCCTCCATTTGAATCTCCATTCAGGCATTCATTGCTGCCACACGTTGCGCTGACTCACGTCTCGTCTCATTTAAGGCCAACTGTCTTTTTATTTCAAGTTGTTATGGTGTCAAATTTGGTTGACGTGACTCTCCTTCCCCATCTCTAACTCTTTGAAATAGAGTTCTATCCCCACTTCTCAAGGTGCCCGCCAAATTTCTATCACCATAAAAACAATTGTTAGGACCTTTTCCGCCAATGACTTGATCTCAAATATAAAAATCCACATCTGAATGAAGCGACTCTCCCTCTCTTGGAGTATATTGAGGATTATGAATCAGAAAATTTGCGAGCAATGTCTGATAACCCTCCTACACATTCAATAAAAAATTAAGTTAAATATATATTAAATTAAATTAAACTAAATTAAACTAAATTAAATTAAATTAAATTAAATTAAATTAAATTATATTAAAAAAGTTGTCACGTGATTTTTACGCCATGACTTCTCAATTGTCACATGATTTTCACGTCACAACTTCTCAGTTGCCACATGAAAATCACGACAAAAAATTGTCATTAAATAAAAGAATATATAAACAACGTAAATTAAATAACTTACGAAAGTTTTTAATGTATGTTCGTCAATAAAATCTTCGATTTTCTTTGTCTGAGTCTTTTTAACCAACTCAATCATCAGTGACGGTCTCTCCAAAATCTTCGACTTAATATATCAACAAATATATCAACAAATTTTATACTATTTAATATATAATATAGTCTCACATAATATGTTAGCTATAAATAAACATTAACCATAAACACTTAATATATCAACATATGTGATTTTATTTACAACAAATTTGATACATTTTAATCTGATAATAATATATCAACAAATTATATACTCTTTAATATATAATATATTCTCACATAATATTTTAATTATAAATATATCAAATAAAAATTTTATTTGTTTTAACTAAACATTTTTAATAAACATATTAAATATATTAATCAAAAAAGTTTTGTTTTTTTAACTAAACATTTAATAAATATATAATAATTAATATATATATATATATATATATATATATATATATATATATATATATATATATATATATATATATATATATATATATATATATATATATATATATATATATATATATATATATATATATATATATATATATATATATATATATATATATATATATATATATATATATATATATATATATATATATATATATATATATATATAATATATATATATATATATATAGAGAGAGAGAAGGGAAAAGATATATATATATATATATATTCAACAAGCGTGGACGAAGTAAAAACATATGATGTCCAATTTTCATTTGTGGAGAAAGACAAATAATAAAAATAATAATAATAATACCAATAATAATAATAATAATAAAATAATTGAAGTAAAAAATAGAACGTTGACAAATTGCAATGAATTATTAATCCACTAGATAACAAAAAGCAATATATTTTAAATATATAAAATAAACGCCTCTAACCTTATAGTTCTCTATTTAAAGCAGGGTGTAATAGGTGATGGAATTGTCCAAGGTAGGTAAAGTTAATTTAGCATAAAAATTGCATCTTGCCAATAACTAGCTATACATTTTAGTTTCTTCTTTTTCTTCTTCCTAAAATTGAATTTATGATCTTCTGAACCTTTTCTTATTTGTCAACTTTCTCATGCTTGTGCTCTTAATAACTAAAGTGTTGTGTACGTTTTTGAATTTGTATATATAGTTATGAGCAATACAATGATGCCAAGGAGCAAACTGATGTTTAATTTGGTTTATGATAGAGGTTGACACACTCACACACTCTCTTAATTTCCATCTTTTATCTATTCAATTCCACATATCTTTTTAATTTTCAAATATAAAAAAAAAAGAAGACAAAAATGGATAATATTGGCAAGAGCATGAAGCAAGAGAGCAAGAAAGTAGGTCTCATCACAAAAACATGGGAGACATGCAAGTCCATAGGACGAGGAGGGGTCAAGACTAAATATCCATCCTCAGTGACTCCAACGACAAGAAGAAGCAAATCATGGCCTAATCTACGAGGCGATGAGATCAAGATAGGAAAGAAAGTTGCACCGGAAGGATGCTTTTCGGTCTACGTCGGGCCTCAAATGCAAAGGTTTGTGATAAAAACCGAGTATGCTAACCATCCTTTGTTCAAGATATTGCTTGAAGAAGCTGAATCTGAATATGGTTATAGTTGTCAAGGACCTTTGGCTCTTCCTTGTAATGTTGATGTTTTTATCAAAGTGTTGATGGAAATGGACCATGAAACTCCTCCTCGAGGTTGTACTTTTAGTGGAAACCGCTCCCATTCCTCTTATGAACTTCTTAGTCCTTCTCGAATGATCAACTTAAACAACTTTTGATTATCATTTTAGTATTATCTATTTCATTCTCCAGAAAAAAAAAGTTTTGATGATCTCGAATTCGATCACGAACTTCAGATCATCTTAAACTTCATACATAAGTATATAATTATGTTTTGTTGAATTAATTTCCCATTTATGTCTAGTGTAGTTAGTCTTGTGTTACTTTCTTTCCATTGCAAGTAGTGATTATCGAATATAATGATCAAATGTTGAAATTAATAAAACGTGTGATCCATGGTTTGCCCTATTCAAATTGTGTTTCTCTATTTCCAATTTGTGTATATGGACAAATACATCTTCCCTCCCACCAATATAACAATCATTAGTTTATATTCCTAATCACATCAAGTGTAATTTAAATCAATGATGGTAATTTTAGGGTTGACTTTATCCATTTTCTTATAAAACAAATAGATATCTTATTTTTTTGACATAAAAAACAAATAAGTGTCTATGTAAGTATATGATAATCTTAAATAATGAACAAAACCATATAAATACAAATTAGTACTTGTTTTTAAGTTGGTTGGGTTGTTTTGATGTCATGGTCGGTTGAGTACTTGATCAATCTATAATAATTGCTATTTAATTATGGGTTTACTTCCTAAAATATGCAGCCATGTAGAGTTTAAATAGCTTTCTTTCGGTTGTCATTTTAGAGTTAGAAAATAGAGTGAAGAATTATTATTTGATCTAGTTGCTGTCCTTTTATTCTTCTTCTATTATGGGTTACAATATTCATATGTAATGTATGATGGAAAACTAGGGTCTAGGAACTTACATACCACTACATAACACAACAACTAGCAGCAATATTCTAAGCCGAAACATAAAATAGGATTTGTTGATGAATTTGAAAGTTAATCAATGAATGCTTTGGTTAATAGTTTTCGATAGTAATTTATTTTTGTTGAATTCAAGTGTATGGTTAAGTATCACATCTATTATGAACAAATAAAAGTTTAATACGTTTTAAGAGTTTGGAGTAATGTGACGTTTCTCATTTGTAGTTTTATAATATTAATATGTTGTCGCTTTTCTTATGACATAGTGGTAAATGGGTACACCTGTTCTATTTAGCTCCATTCTACAAAAGTCTACAAAAAAAAATAGGATGAGGACAACATAGTTGAGTGTGCGGGTGTAAAATCTTGGACTGTACGCAAAAAAAATGAGGGTGGAGTGGCATGCGGAGAATTCACTATTTAATCCTTGAAATACAAAAAATTATGTTAATGCCCGCCGCCGCAAAAACATTCAAAAAACAGGATGGGACTGACACACTAGAGGGTACGAGCCTAAAATCTTAATCCCACTATGCCAAAATTGACTTTAGACAGCGCCACATAGACATCGCTTATGTCTAAAGTGCTGCTATAGGTTTTTAGAAAAATTAATAATTAAAAATTAAAGGAGAAGCGCTGCTAAAGGTATACTATAGACAACACTTATTATAAGCGCTGCTATAGGCCTTACCATAGACATCGCTTTCTTTCCCTAAGCGCTGCTATAGGTTTTCAATAAAAAAAAATTAAAAAATTAGAATAAGCGCTGCTAAAGGATATACTTTAGACATCGCTTACTAAAAGCGCTGCTAAAGGTGTTATTCTAGGAAGCGTTGTTAAAGTCTAAAGCGCTGCTAAAGGGTATACCTTAGACAACGCTTTCCAGAAGCGCTGCTAAAGGGTATACCTTAGACATCGCTTTCCAGAAGCGCTGCTAAAGGCATTACTCTAAAAGCGCTGCTAAAGCCTAAAACGCTACTAAAGGTAATACCTTTAGCATCGCTTCTTGAAAGCGCTGTCTAAGGTAATTAAATAGTGTCTTAATCCCTAAATTGGTTATCAGATTTCCAGAAATCCCAAATCGTACAAACGAAACCCCACACCCAGAAATCGCTCCTGTTCATCTTTTTCTCCAACTCGTCTCCTCCGATTCACCGTCCAACCGTGGTTCTTCCTCCAACTCTTCTCCAACTCGTCTACTCACCGTCCAACCGTACTTTAGTGGTTCTTCCTCCGCGCAGAAGCAACTCTCTCCAGTGTTCCGATAACAACAACAGGTCAGTTCCGATAACACCATTTATGCACTTTTACATTATTAAGTTGTTCTTTTCTATTGAATAAAAATGTGGGTGGTCATGATACTAGCTAGAGCTGGGTAGGAAGGAAACAATGCTTTTGTGAATAAGTGCTTTTGTTTGGGGGATAACGCACCCTTTTGTGAATAAGTGCTTTCAAGAATCTCAAGAATGTCAGTGCTTTTGTAAATAAGTGCTTTTGTGTGTGAATTTAACTTATTCATGTTTTTTTTTACATTAACATGAAGCATATCTAGTGTAATTTTCCTGGTTGCAGGCACTACAGTGAGAAACTCTTGCTCTTTCTATTTCTTTGCTTCCAAGTTTTGTATTACTATAGTAAACCTCTATGGTAAAAAACAAAACTAGTTCAATTTTGTAACATGTGATTATTTATTGTGCAATTTTAATATGTTTATAAAAGCATATTATTTTTTTAAACTTGTCTATCACCTGCTAACTAAATAGCAATTACCAGCAGCCAAAAGATAAAGGGATTACGCGGCCAAAGGAGTCAGTGACAGCAAAAAAACAGGTATAACACAATTATATGATATTTATGCTTAGATAATGTTAATTTGTCGTCCTATACTTGACCACTCTAATTTTATGATATTTAGATTATTCCTGCTAAAGAGATTGAAGCTGTAAGTAGGGATAAGGAGCCTGTAATTAACAACATTCCCACAGAAACAAAGAGTGTTGCTAAGAGGACCGGGGCTAGAAATAAAACTACTTCACAATATAGGTCATGCCTTCAGACATATTTAAGCTTCACAACTATTTCGCAAGGTGGTACTTCTCTTATACCCCTGGATGAAGGGATTTATGGTTCTGAACGCATGACAACAATTGGTAAGGAGGATTTGGAAGAAGTTTTTGGACACTAGACATTAGGCATCGCTGTTATCAATACATACATCAGGTATACTCCAATCAACTTTGTTTAATTAATTGCAGAATTGATTTACTCATTTCAATGAATATTAATGTTAATGATGTTTTTATTTAAGGTTTCTGTATGACAAGTTGATTCGCCCGCGTGGATTGGAGTCCAGATTCGCTTTCATAAATCCCAACGTTGTCTACGCAGGGTCAATCATCTCAAAACCAGATGAAGTAATAGCATTTGTGCTCAGTTTATTTATGGCCAGCAAAGATACAGAAAAAATGTTCTCTTTACCATATAATACTGGCCCCAAGTAAGATTTTCATTCTAAATTTCCTCTATTATAATTTTTCATTTTTTAACGTTGTGCAGAAAATTTCCATCTAACCTTTGTTTAATATTCCAGTGGACACTGGTTATTGGTTGCAATTAATCCTGTGAGAGAAATTTTATATTATCTGGATTCATTGGGCAATGATTGGACAACATACCCAGATATGAAGAAGACGATTGACATGTAAGTGAGATTGTTCCAAAATATTACTGTGTATATTTAATTATTTATGTGCGATAGTTCTAAATATTTGTTATTATTTTATTATATCATTCTACAAAGTTTTTGAGCACAAAGAGATATTCAAGTACCAAGGAGTAGAGTCAACAATATTTCTTGGATCAAAGTGGAGGTATAGATTTTCACAATTTTGATTATATAGTGATGATACTTGATAAAACAAGTTAACGTGTATATCTTGATGTATATCCGTATTTTCTTTCCATGTGTAGTGTCCTCGTCAGTGCAATGGTGTAGATTGTGGTTATTTTATGTTGAGGTTTATGAAAGAAACTATTCTTTTGGACCGATTAGAGATTCCATCCACGGTATGAATTTCTAACTTAGGAGTTATTTTAATATTTCTCATAAAATGACTTAGTATTTTAATTAAATCATACTATGTTATATTATTATGTAGTACTTTGATGAATTCAAGTGTGCTTCATACTCAAAAGATCAATTGGATGAACTTATGGAGGAATATTGGTGCCAATTTGTTATGGAGTTAAGAGTTTTATTATAAGATATAACTTTGAGTTTTGAGAATATAATATATGTCGTTATAGTTGTGTTACAATATTATTGTTTTTGTTGTTGTTATTTGGTAACTTGTATGAATTTTTATTTTTTTGATTTTGTTTTAGGTTATATAGGTGCAGCTCGATGTAGAAGATAGAGTTATTTTGTAATTCATTGTTGATTTTGTTTCATTGTTGTATATACTAATGTTGTTGTTGTGTATATTGTGCAAAAAGGATTGAAGAGATGAATATTGATGTTGTTATAATAATGTTTCATTGTGGTATATTGATGTTGTTGTTGTTTAAAATATTATAATGAAGCTATAAATTCTGGTGCAAAAATGGTGAGATTAAATTTGATAGGCAGCGCTTTGTTTTAAATGAAAAAATATATATTTAAAAAAATAATAAGGAAAAGCGTTGTTAAGGGGGGGGGGGGGGGAATAGACAATGCTTTTAATGAGAAGCGACGTCTAAAGTGTTAGAAAAAAAATTATATTAAAAAAATAATAAGGAAAAGCGCTGCTAAAGGGGGGGGGGGGGGGGGGGGGGATAGACAGCGCTTTTAATGAAAGCGCTGTCTAAAGTGATTGAAAAAAAAAATTAAAAAATAATAAGGAAAAGCGCTGCTAAAGGGGGGGGGGGGGGAATAGACAGCGCTTTTACCAAGCGCTGTCTAAAGTTCCACATTAAAAGCGTTGTCTAAAGTGTAAGCGCTGCTAAAGGGGGTACCTATAGCAGCGCTTTTGAAATTACATAAGCGATGTCTATACCTTTAGCAGCGCTTTTAAGCGCTGTTAAAGGCCTAAAAAAGCGCGGTCTAATCCCTTGTTTGACATAGTGTCCGCTCCACAAAAAAGTGTAGGGGCATGTCCGACATGCGAGCCTGCTTTTCCACCTAACTAATGTCGATGTTCTAATTCGCTTTAGTGGGGAGCATGAATTGGATTC